ACCAGCACCGGATTCTCCGCTGTAGAGGGTCAGTTACGGCTGGTTTATATGTTGGGCTAACTCACGTCACGAGAATACTCTGGTTGGTGCCTTCCTCTATGAGATTCCGGAAGGCGTGATCAGCCATGGCGAAGATATGCGGCTTGGTCTCCTCCCTACTCCGGCCCCGGTACATGTTGATGTACTCTCGCGAGTAGATAGGCAGCGGACAGTAGGGGTTCACGGTGACGAGAAAGAGTCCGGAGTAGGTGTATATCAGGTCGGCCTGGTATCGCATGTGGAGGTTGTGGATGACCGAGGGCTCGTTCAGATGGGTGAGTTCCGCCATGTCGTCAGCCTTGTCGAACTTGGCTGGATTGACCTTGTCGATGGCGTCGGCGTCGACATCCTGCTGTGTGCCATTGTCGCATTGGACGAGGATGCGGCCGCCCGGCAGGTCCTCGACGACCCATCCGCGGACGAAGGCCGTGACGGGATCCCTAAGCCAGACATAGCGCTTGCCGGAGAAGTCGTTCTCGCCTTCCACGATGCCACCCAGGCGCGGAGCAGCGTCGTCGTCCTCGGAGATGAACTGCGGGGCAAAGGTGCCGACGGGCGTGCTGTTGCGGTTCGAGTTGGAGCGCAGGCGTGCCGAGTCACTGCGGCCCAGCGGCGGGCTGGTGAGGTTGGTGAGGGAGCGGTTGCGCAGGTGGCCCATGGGGGAGTCGTCGGCCTCGTGCAGCGGCGAGGAGACCGAGTTCCTGGCAAAGGGAGTGCCGCGCGAGTTGCGGGCGAAGGGTCGGCCATTCGGCGCGGGCCCGTTCGCGCTCATGGTGGTGAGTGGTGGTGGTGTTGTCGTGGTGCAGTCGTCGTCGTCGTAGCCGAAGGGGTCATTTGGGCTTAGTTGATTGACATTGCCCCAGTATGTACAGTGGTATGCGGGGACGCGGGTGCAGACATGCAAAAGGAACCCTAGGGAGGCTTTGCTGGTACAGACGCTGCACGTAAAGTTGTTGTAAACAATGACAGCCGCTGGGGCCCCTAGCAACAGCCGGGGTTGTGATTGGGTGGAGCGTGCACGGACACTTCTCGATACTGTCGCGATGCACAATATCTCACGAACTGCCCACGCTCCTCCATCACCGCGCGTCATGGCAAACAACTACGCGCATCCCCCGCCCATGCAGCAGCTGCCGGGCATCCCGGGCATCAACCTCGCCCCGTATGCGCAGAACGGCCAGCAGCCCCCGTTCCCTGCCTTTCCTCCGCCCGATGCCAATCTTTGGGCGCTCTTCCAGAGTGGCTCCTTCCCTCCAGGTGCCCCAAACCTCCCGCCGCCGCCGCCCTTTCCCAACATGGCCTTCCCCCCACCGTCGCTGCCTCCCCAGCCTCCACTGCCCGAGCGCGTACAGGAAGTCACGGATAGCGACCGCGAAGATGGCGAGCTGAGTGAGGGCGACAGTTCGCCGTCGCTCATGGACAAGCTACAGCAGGATCGCGACGCGGCCAAGCAGTTCATCAAGCTTCTGCACAGCAACAACGTCTCCTACAAAGCCCTCGCCAATGAGCAGCTAGACCCCGAGCTGCTGAGGGGCCTGTACCAGAGCGCAAACCTGCCGTCGGAGCCTGCGCCCATCCTGCCACCCAAGGCCAACGATGCCGTCTCCAAGGCGCCCGCCGTCCAGCCAGTGACTCCCGTCGCGCAAGATGCGCCCAAGTCTGTCGCGTCGCCAAGCACTCCGGGCCATCGTCAGGATTACATAGCACGTCTCCAGGCCGCAAAGGCTGCGAAACAGGCCGCCGCCGCCAAAACCACCACTCCTGCGCCTGTCACCAAGACGCCCCAACCTGCGACCCCTCCGGCCGCTAAGCCGCCTGTGACAGATGAACAGAGAGCGCGCAACACCGAGTTGATCAAGCAGCGCTTGGAAGCCATCAAGGCGAGACAGAAGCCGCCGGTCACGCCTGGCTCGCATACACCCACGAGCGCCGCCTATACCCCATCCTTCTCTGCCATTCCAGGTCTTTTCATGGGCGCGTCTTCAACATCGAATACACCTGCTCCGTCTGCACCTCAGCCAGCATCTCTACCAAATTCTTCTACTCCTCACCCACGGCCGCTGGGCCAGTCTCCGCATGCTGACCAGGAAGATGATTCAATGATAATAGATGTTAGCGAAGACGAGTCCAACGGCAGCGACATGGACATTGACGACGATCAGCCCGCTCCTCAGGCAGGTCAGCATTCGCGTCAGGCTCCTGGCACCCTTCCCAACTTCCACTCCGGCGCAATGCCAGCAACCCCATCAGCCGCTGCTGTCGGTACCTCAGGCGCAGAAACACCCAACACAGTCGCGCGCGAGAAGGAGCTAGTGGACAAAGAGAAGCAGTTGGTGGCCATGCGCGAGACACTCAAGAAGAAGCTCGCTGAAAAGCGAGAGCGCGATAGGTTGGCAGCAGCTGCCAGCGTCGCGACATCACCGTCCACGAGCCAAAAGACGTCGACGCCAGTGCCATCTCTTCAGCCCTCCACTCCAGCTTCGCTTCCCACATCCACGACCCAATTTGTATCATTCCCATCACATTCAAAAGACACAAATCGTCTTCGCCGGGCGGAGATCCAATCTAAGCTGCCTACCCTGGATGCCGAGATTGCGAGTAACGCGAGTAGGATGGCTCAGCTGACCAAGGAATTGGAGCAGCTAACGGCGCAGAACGAGAGAATTGCAAGGGACAAGGAGCAGCTGACCAAGGAGCTGGAGGATCTGGGTGTTGACACGGAGGGCATGTCTCATGCGCAATTACGAGCCAAGAAGGATGAAATCGAAGGCGAGCAGTCTTCGGATTCGAACTCCCCATCTAACCAAACGCAACCTGTATCGCAGCCTGCACTCAAGGATGCTTCACCGGTTTCACTTCCAGCTTCGAATCAACATACTTCAGTACCGATGGCACTTCCTGGACTTGGACAGGATACGATTCAGCCTGAGCAGGAGAGTTATGAGCCCCCTGAGTTGCCAGAACAGGTTATGCCTGCAGAAGGCGTCCTCAACCCAGCAGCATCACAGATACATTTTAGCCCACAGGATTCACCTACCAATGGCACCAGGACCCTGAATCCTTCGGCGCCAGCCTTTGTCTCGACAGCTCAACAAGACCAGATTGAAAACACGCAAAGTAATTCATCGAAAGCTGATGCGAGTGTACAAAATGCGATCGACGTAGCCAAGGCCAACGCCAGTGCTGCTGTGGACCAAGAGATCCAGCAACCTACCACTGCCCCCTCGCCGTCAGAAGAAGGAGAAGTCGACATGTCTGTTTCCGAGGGTGACGAAGACGAGGAAGAAGAGGAAGAGTACGAGCCGGAATACGAGCCAGAAGAATCTGTCGTTATCCCCGAAGTACCCGTGGAAAAAGAAGTGGAGGTGCAGACCAAACCTGAGTATTCACTCGAAAGCTCGCAAGCCTCTCCGCAAGAAGAAGAGGCCTACGAGCCACCCGACGTCGAAGAAGACATGCCGGATGTCCAGGTCGGCGAAGAATCCACCGCAGATCAGTATGAGCCCACGGCTCAAGCTGAGGCGGGAGATGGCGCTATGGACATTGCTACATCATCTGATGAAAGCTCTGACGACAGCGAATCCGACGACGAGTCTACCCCAGAGCCGGAAATGAGGAAGTCCATCTCAGCGTACAACCCGTTACATCAAGACGCTGGAATCGCTGATGATCTAGCGCCCGAGCTACAACCAGAGGTAACGTCTTCGGCGGCCGCTGGCGGACCTGTACGTCAACCACCATACCGGAGGCCTAGCTAATGCAGACCAGGTGCCTGAGGTGTCCGAACAGGACGAAGAACCCGAACCAGCCAGGTTTACTCCGTACGAAAGCCCGCTGCGAATGTTCAAGTCCTATCGCTATCATCCCAACTATGCTCAAGATATAAATGGTGGCTTCCTGTCCCTGACTTTTAGTCATCAGATCAACCCAGAGAAGCCGCTGTGCCAGTACGAACTAGCTGGCGGCGCATGCAACGACCCTGAATGTCCCGATCAACACTTTAGGGAAGTTGCTATTACTGGTGCGTTGGGAGAGGCGTTCTTGTCTTGATTTCCGTTGTGTTTTGTTATTCTCATTTATAACGGCTATACCTCTGCGCGGAAACTGACTTGTAGTCATATAGGTGACAAACTGCTCGTCCAGCTTGGCACAGCGAACCCAGGCAAAACCTCTGAGGAAAAGCAGCGCTGGAATGACGGTCTCCGCGGCGTGCTCAAAGAACTTCGTCAGAAGAACATCAAAGACCCCAACGGCATTGCTGTGGAGATAGCGAGATATCGCCGTCAATTCCTCAACGACGATACTCGTGTCGTCAACTTGTAATACTTCTTAACTTCCCTCCCCGTTCTAGGCCTGCACCTAGAGGAGGCGGGGGTTGGCTACTCATTCATCATTCCCTCCATTGCTACTGACCTTGATTACATCCACTCAGCAGTCCGCTTCTCTTTGCGTACCCTTCATCGGTAAAAAAGTTGCGACATTGGGGGCGTATCAACAAACTCTCTATCTCTCGACTGTAAGCATCGATATCCTTTCTCTGCATTGGCGTGGAGTTATGGCTTGGTTCACCTATCTTTATTGGATGAATCATTGGTTTAGTCGTGGGACTAGGACACACTCTAGCCCGCCCACTAGCAACCTGACCTGGTACGTATTGCTGCCAGCTGCTACGCTCGGACAATTGAGATTCGGTCATCTCGGCGGAAGAGCGGGTGGGTGGCAGCTGCGCGCGGATATGGTTGGGGCGGTGGTCGTGGTCTTGACTTAGTCTATATAGGCAACACGAATGCATATTTCTTCTGTCATATATTCATCATCACACGATTGCAAATTCGTTCTGTCAGATCTTCATAATCACATGTGTACGTCGCAATCAAGTAAGAGGAATAGGATACAGCAATTGATTCTCGTCAAACTACACTAATCCTTCCCTATCGTTTACGGTCTCAACACACAACAATCTAGTTGGAGATGCCAATAACACCGCAAGCAGGACGAGGACCAGCGTTACCAGTCTTCTTGGACTCCTCGTGTCCGCCCTTGCCGAGGTCGTCAGTTCCAGCGTGAACGACAATGGTGCGGCCAATGACGCTCTCGGAGCCAATCAACTTGATCAGCTTGTCCGTGGTGCTGCCCTGAGCGTTGCCCTGGCCGTCGGTCTTGAAGTTACCCAAGTCACCGACGTGGCGCTCGTCGTCTTCGGGCGCGCCGTGCGTCTTGTTGTGGGGGTTGACTGGGTGGGCGTGTTAGTACAGGTGTTCATTCCGATGGCTAGGGCTGCAGGGTGGGTGTTCCTGGGTATCCGGTGCAGGGTTGTTGGGGTGTAGGTGTAGGTGTGGGTCTGTACTCACAGTGAGGACCAGCAGACGTGCAGCCGTTTGTGTTGTCGCCGAAAGCGTGAACGTGCATGCCACGCTCAGCGTTGGCATCGTGGCCGGTGATGTTCCATGAGATGGTAGTAGGGGCGGACTCGTCGGCCTGCTCAAAGGTGACGGTTCCCTTGACGTTGGAGTCTCCACGGAGGACGGCGACTATGGCTTTTGCGTTAGTATATCTGATCTCCTCAAGGGTCCTAAGCCTCAATCCAAGCTTCTGTAGCGCGTTGATGCGCGTGTAGTGTAGCGGAAAGCCATCAGGGTGTCTTGCAGCCGGCGAGCTGATTGGAGAAGTCCAACGACAAGCCCCAGGTACCAACTGACAGCATGGTACTCCTTGTGAGCCCCAAAGCTGTCCAATTGACCTCTTCGAGCGTTACGATACACCTGAGTACCGTGTCGTCGCAAATAATCTGCTCAATCTTACGCAAGGAGCTGACCCCACCTTCCCGCAAGAGGGAAAGCTCGTGAAACTACTCTAAACATACGTACCGGCTTTGACCATTGTGACGGTTATGTGATGGGTATTGATGGTATTACTTGTGTATTTTGGAATCTGTGACGGACAGAGGCGGTGTTGGGGAGGAGATGGGAGGGAGATGTACAGCTGGCTAGAGGTGAGCTTTGAAGCCGCCTCCACCGGCCGAATGCGGGGCTGTAGTGACGCAACGGTCTCTAACGCCGGGCCAGATCCGACGAATGATTAATAGCCCTGAGGGCCCATCACTTAACATGGTTTCTATCGTTTTCTTACACTTTCATGACGATGGAGGTTTCAGCATATCATCGAGATAACGGAAAGATGGTGTTTTACATCTGATGTCAATTTTACTATCTATTTATTGGAAGCCAGCCCATCATGTCTCATATCAAAACCGAAGAAAGCCGTAAGAGTGTTCAGATGCTCGGTGTATCTCCGTTATCGGATTACACACTCTATGCCGCTTGGATCTTCTTGCGGAGGATGTCCTTCAGGGTGACGGCGTCAGCGGCGAATTTCGAGATACCCTCGCGGAGCTTCTCGACGGCCATCTGGTCCTCGTTGAAGTAGAAGCGGAACTCGGCCTCATTGTTGATGTAGGTCTTCTTCTCGATGTCGAGCTTGCTGGCATCCTCGGCGATGAGCTTCTTGGGGACGTCATCTTGTGAGTTGTACAGCTCCTCGAGCAGGTTGGGCTGTATTCGTTAGTCACATATACAGGGATAGAGCCTGCGGGTAGTACTTACAGCAATGGTCAGGTAGTCGCAACCAGCGAGCTCGGTGACCTCACCGACGCTGCGGAAAGATGCTCCCATGACGATGGTCTTGTAGCCGTGCTTCTTGTAGTAGTTGAAGATCTGCTGGACGCTCTTGACACCGGGGTCCTCCTCCTTGGAGTACTCCTTCTTGGTCGAGGCCTTGTACCAGTCAAGAATACGGCCGACGAAGGGAGAGATGAGGAAAGCACCGGCCTCGGCAGCCGCGATGGCCTGGACCTGGGAGAACATGAGGGTCAGGTTGCAGTTGATTCCGTGCTTGGATTGCAGGATCTCAGCAGCCTTGATTCCCTCCCATGTGGACGCGAGCTTGATGAGAACGCGCTCCTTGTCGATACCGATCTCCTTGTAGAGGTCGATGATGTGCAGGGCCTTGGCTACTGACTCCTCGGTGGAGAAGGAGAAGCGCGCATCGACTTCTGTCGAGACCTTGCCGGGGACAATCTGGAGGATCTCCTTGCCAAACTGTACCAGCAGGTTGTCAAGGGTGGTGTCGACCTGGTTCTCAAGGTCGGTGCCGTTCTTCTTGCCGTATGCGACGGCCGCATCGATCAGCTTCTCGTACTCGGGCTTCTTAGACGCGGCGAGGATGAGCGAGGGGTTGGTGGTCGCATCCTGGGGCTGGTACTTCTTGATGGTAGCGAAGTCACCGGAGTCGGCGACAACGGTCTGTAGGGAAAGTCGGTCAGCTATAATTCTTCCGCAGGCTTGGTGTTGCGCATGTGAATACTCACGGTGCCGGAGGCCTTGAGCTGTTCGAGGGAGCTAGGCATTGTGAGGGGTATATGTGTATGGAATTGGGATTGGAGGTTTGTTGCAAGTGTTTGTGAGAGCACTTGATATGTAGTAGAGGTGAGGAAAGTAGTCGACTGATGTGATGTAAAAGTGTTGTTGGGCCAGCTGCATGGGTGGGGCCTTTCATACGTAGCGCCCCTCACCTTCCGGCCCCTCCATGGAAAAATAGCGTCACCGGTGGCAATGGCGGCAGAAGTCAAGCTCAGTCAGCGGTGAGGGTCCTTTCGAGTAACCGCTAGCGATCAGAAATTTTGCCGCTCTCGGAGCACTGTCGTCCGGCCCATCCATCAGACGCGCTTCGGGATGAACGTGGCTGGACGCGATGCCTGAGTAGATCCCACGTGGCGGCACTCGGAGCAGAGTAATGCATTGTCATACGATTGAGGAAGCTTGTTCTACCAACAACCCACGGCTATACACTATCGCGATGTTATTCTTAGCTTATCATCGTGAATTCCCGCGGACATATCCAGGGCAGCTTCGGCCAAAAGGCCGACCTCAGGCTTCTCGATGGTGATAGCTGGATATTACAACTTTGCTTTGCCAGTTGTCTTGCCCCATCCGTCTTGGTTCAGCCATCCGTACACCTCCTTGTATTGTTCTTCAAGATTGCTAACAGTGTGGCCTGCTCCGCTCGGTCCCGGATCGTTCTGCATCATCAGTCATCAGCACACAGTCACACACTCGGGTGGATGTTTTCCATCAATACTTACGTATGCCTCAACTAGCCTGGTCTGTTTCGCGCCCACCTCAAGGATCGTGCCTCCACCCAGATCGGTTTCTTCCAAGCATCTCAACATGGCGACTGCCACTTCTTCGGGTGTCGCCCACGCATCCTTGGTTTGATCAACGAACGCTAATTTCTCCGGATGCTCGGTCCACAGTGGTGTTTTGATGACGCCCGGAGCGACGGCATTGACGCGAATGTTCATCTCCGCTTCGAGCCTACCCAGCGACCGGACAAAACCGTTCATCCCGTGCTTGGCCGCCGTATATATCGGCGCGTGGAGGTTGGGGTTTTGGCCTGCAATACTAGAGATGATGAGAACTCTCTTAGGATTCTGCGCACTCACTCTATCTACACCAGGTGGTGGATTGAGGAAATGCGATACAGCGAGCTGGGTCGTGCGAATGGGATGTGTTACGTTGATATCGAGAGTTGCGTATCGTCCCCCGTCCGCCTTGTCTCTGCTCTCGCTGCCATCGACGCCTGGAGGATGCCAGAAGTTACTCCAGTGGGGATCGTAGACGCCTGCTCCTGGACATACAATGTCGACTTTTCCGAATTCCTGTATTCCTACTTCGAACATGCTCTCCAGCTGCGGCCAATCCGTAACATTGGTCTTGAGAAAGACGGCTCGTGGTCTCCCCTGCTCTTTAGTGCTGTATTTTTTGACCAGTTGCTCTGCTTCCGGGCGAAGCGAAAGATCGGCTATAAGGACGGAGCAGCCATGGCTGAGAAGTAAAGCTGCAAAAGAGAAGTTTATACCTGACCCAGCACCAGTGACTATGGCACTTTTCCCATTGACACTGAATGCATTTCCAGATTTCGTCTCGTTGACTAACCCTGGTTGTCTTGCTGCCATCTTGCTCCAAGCACGCTCTTGAATTCGTTCGAATGGTCAATAACAAAAAAACATCTCTCTCGTGGTCGTCAACATGACTATATATGCGACCTAGGTACACGCTGTCCAGCATTCACGCGTCTAACCAGCACGGGATTGCCTCATTGGGTAACGAGAGGGGTAGTTGTGGGGTAACTCGCACCGAGCACTATCGTAGTCGGGGAAGGTTTGCCGAGCTTCAACCCTCTTACACTACGCGGAAGCTCGTATTCTGAGTGGTTCTACAATTCACCATACTTCAAGCCCACTTGCTAATCTCGAAAAGCCATGAAATATTGACGTCAGTGCTGCAGTGGGTTGAGTAAATCTTGAGTAAATGATCTTTGTACTAGAACTACGATTATGTACAGCCAACCAGCCAGACAGTATCGAACCTGCCTTATTTGGGATATCAATGTATACCAAGCGCCACCTAACGCCGTATGTGCCAGAAGTCCTAATTCCGTTTCCTCAGCTCACTGCGCTCCTGTCCGTCGGCCCCACTAGTACGCGGAAGAGGCTCGCCATTGCCCGTGCCTGAGACGTGGCTCAGGCGAATCAGCTCATCCATCATAGCATCTCTTGTCTTCTTGAGCAGCTCATCGACGTGCTCTGGTCCCTTTCCTTTTGTTTGTATTGGCGGCAGGACTGTTACATCCACCACGCCTGGCGTAAACCTCTTGCCCTTTACGTCTAGGACGTGGTAGTAGTTGCCAACGACGACGGGCACAATTGGGACTTGCGCTTGTACGGCGAGATGGAAGGCGCCTTTCTTGAAGGGCAGGAGTTCAGGTTTCGCGGCGTAGGAACGCGTGCCCTCAGGGAAGATGAAGACGTTCTGGCGTGTGGTCTTCATCGTGTGTGCGGCAGTGTCGAATGCGGCGCGAGAGGAGGTGCGGTTTGCGCGGTCTATGAAGACGGTCTTGGAGAGGGCCATGAACCAGCCGAGTAGGGGCACGTATTTCAGCGACTTCTTGGCCGTGACGGACGTGTACTTGGGGAACATGCAGCCGAGCATGAGAACGTCGAGTTCGCTGCAATAAGTGTCAGCGCTGCTGTCGACAGTTGGCCCAGCCAAAGGACCTGGTGAACCCACGTCTGGTGGTTGCCCACAAAAATGGCGGGACGGTCCCTGAGGGCGTCTTCTCCACTGAGACCGCCCTCTTTCTTCATGCTCCCCGTCACTCTGAATGTTACGCCGGTGCACAACCACATGACCCATTTGAACGCCCGCGCAACCGTCCACTGGATCAGTCCACCATAGCCCACGAGGCGCAGAGGTATAGCCACGAGGGTGCCGTACAGCGCGCAGCAGAGCATGAGGAGCATGGAGCTTATTGCGAAGGCGTAGTATGACACCAGCTGGGCGGGCTTCGCGGGCAGCACGAGCGAGAGCAGGCGCATGGCCATGATGAGCGCGGGCGGCATGGCGGCGAGGTAGATGAGCCAGCCCATAGCGAAGGCTCTCGGCGGGGAGGGTGAGGGAGAGAGGGAAGAGAGGTGCTTGTGTTTGTGTGTGTTCGTATTGCGGGTTGAAGAGAGTCGGAGCTTGGTGGGGACATTTTTTGTCACGCGCGCCGAGGTTCGCACATGCAGGCCTCGCCAACTCGCTAATTGTCATGTGTACCGCCATGCCATTCATCGTGACCCCTTCTCCTCCACAGAATGCCCTGAACTGGTCCGCACCAGCACCTCGTCTCTCCGCCGCCTTGACCAAGTCATCGCTGCGACGCAAAAGGTCGTGATATATACAAGTAAGAGAGGAAGCAATATCCAGCGCCAGGCTACCATGCATCCGACCCTCAATTTGATCTCGGTGTGTTGCGCGCCGTCAGCCAGAGGGAGATCT